CGTTACCACTGGGTCACCACCGCGTTCATATTAATATACTGTTTCTACCATTCTAAAAACTACCCTGATCAAACGTAAAAGGTCAGCGACGAGAAGCTATAAATATTGCAACTGACAACGCACCAACGTGATGCTGTTTTTTTTTCAGACAACATCACTAGGTGTTTATTTACCTCTGAACGTAAAATATACGGTTGATACCATAGGTTCTGCTGTTGCTTCGATAAACTACTTATTGGGATCTATGCCATTCAACTGCTAACAGATGCACCTAAAACATACTATTTTAAAGCCAGAGTAATGCGTCAAATTTACCACTAAAAGCATGTGCTCCACCCCTTCCTGTAAGTCGTTATAGGGACTTTTGGACTTTGCAGGATAATGCAACACATCACCCGAATAGGAGCCGAAACTGTTTTATATTTCCATACCTTACTAAAGAGACGCCGTCGAAAACTCCATATCCGTCTTTCAAACAAAATACCGGCAGACATCTACTTATGTCTTGCAGCACCGCAATTCCATTGCAGTGCTGAAACTTGGCATCCTATGAACTTTATCAACGGGTTTCCCTCTGAAATGATGATGGGTGCTCAATAATCCGGTCGTCCAGATTACTCGGGATGTGGTGTTTAAAGGGCGGGCCACAAAAGCTTAAGTATCTTCACTAATGATTTCGGGAAACAGAGAGGAGGTTGTGTAGATAAATTCTCATCACTTCTGCCTGGGATAGCATCCGACAGTGGGCCTTCAATGGATATTCGAATACCAACAGAATCATTGTCCCATCAAAAATTACAAAGGTTAGTTGTAATGGTCATTGGAGCCGTGAGACGGAATTCAGCCAGTGCAATCGGGATTTACATGTTTAGCTAAAAGTGCATTTATCCTGGTTTTTCTCACATTCTTTTGTAAAAAGGGTTTCCAGATAATGAAGAATGAGACGCTACATTTGTGAGACCGTAGTATTTTACTAATCCTTACAACGACAAAGACTCGCGTCACATTTTGACTGCATAATTACTCTCAAGGAACTTAATTTGGATGAGTGGAAGTGTGGTACCGTGCAATATTTTTTAAATTTGGTTATTTAAGATATAGGTGAAACCATATGAAACGGTCTGTTATTCGATTGTTCACTCAATTCTTTCCGTGAGAAATATTTGGCACACAAAATGCAACATTTTATTCCATATTCTGATTTCCTAAAGTTTTGATCCTTTCACATGACACTTGCAAACCCTGTAATTTTTCATTATTGTTTTCTGTTTATTTGAGATTGAATCTGATATTTTTCGTTCTCTTTGTTCATGTTGATTTTCTCACCCTTGTATTCAATGAAACTAAAAAATAAACCAACGATATACTGCACAATTCAGTCAAAGTTGAAGAACAGCATACTCAATTTTTTTCCGTTTTCCTTCATTTTGTACAGCAGCATAATGTTCCTTACGGACCGTTATACCATTTCACGATTTCTCCATCCATCTAATCCCACTTGTGCCACCCAGTGCCATTTGTGTTTTACAGACACGGGTATCTATATTTCCTCGCTGTTCATCACATTTTATTTGTTTTTTTTGAAAACGTTTGCTATGTATATCAGTTCTGAACCTACACTATGAGCCTAAAGGTAGTGCCAAATAAGTTTTGGCGTAGATCAAACAGCACAAACTGTATCCCTTCAGGTAACGTGATTTACGGTTTTGTGGCAGTTAAATGAATTTCTGTTCAGGAATGGCGAATATCCAAAACGAGATACGGAACTGCAATTTTCAATCACGCACAGTTCGACCAAGTGGCCGATAAATATTGTTTTCGCATGATTGATCATTTTTGGTGGGAGGTACAGTTGATCAAGTGCACAAGTAAATAGTAGGCTCTGGAAATTACCATCTCACCATGCCGTTTTCGATGACTCGGTCACGTGTCGAAAATGATTCCCGAGCGGCTTCTGCTGTGCGCACTGTTCATGTTTGGACGGAAACTCGTGTAAACTAGTCTGAGGCATGATGCGGTGTGTGTGCATGGACCAATTGCTAGAATCTGTCCTGCATGAGAAAATATCTCGACTTTTAGATTGAAGTACCTTCAATTGATAACCGAAAAATGGCCTGTAATCAGGCAAATTAGCAAACGTGTTTAGACATCTGTCGTTTGCCCACATTCTCGTCAAGAAGCTTCATTCCTCGCATTCACGTTTCTTGTTGGATAAGTTATTTACAAAGTTCCTTCAGTCAACAAAATGTTGTACATTGTGGTTTATCTATGCTGAATGAAACGCTCGAGGTTAATGAACGTGTACTTCCCATTTGTNGGTTCTCGTCGTATCAGCCGATAACTTTTATCTAGTCCGCGAAGTTGACGAAACTCTTCCACACTGGTGCCTTTCACCTGAGACCGAGAAAGAATTCAGTTGTGAATATTTATCTCGGCAGTGTGTTAACCCAATGACCTCTCTATTCATCTTACTCCTCCCTACACGCGTTTTAGGAAGAAAATCTATGCCTACTAAAATATTGACCGATGGTGCAAGATTTTTCACGACCTTATCATGTGGAATAATTTGTGGTGTCCTTAAATCCACAAGTACCCCACGCTTGCTGCAGGGGCACAGAACAAGCGCAGCTTAACCAAAGTGGACTGCAGGTCACAGATAGCCTATAGAAGTCCAGTTTCTGGGGTGATTACTTGTTGGGATTTGTGTGCTGTCAACTGAAAAGTAGTATACCTTCGAGTAAGAAAATGTTATTCGCGAAATATTTTCTGCTCAATTCTTCATTCCGCATACTCATTTTAATGAGTTGCATCAGTCTGACGATGATACTCAACTTCGCATTGTTATTGCTCTTTGTTTTTATTTGTTGTCTGTTGTTTTTTATTAAGGAGAAGCGTGTTGTGTTTGTTTTCCAACTTCCAATGGTGAAACGACCAAGGCCAAAGTCATTCCCCAGTTAGAACAACCCACTTGGTTACAGCCGTAAATGAAATAAACACCCTGTGCTCACATTTCTAGACTGCTGCTCAACGGACAATTTCCAATTCAAATTTTTAAAGTATCATAATGAACCGTAATTCAAGCCTTCAAAAAAATCTAACGCATAAAACATGAGGCTGGCAGGAGATCCAAAGATAAGCGGATCACTAATCTAGCCTTCTGTTTTCGGCCAATTTTTTTGAAAAAGCTCACTTAAGTAAATATCACTGATTATCAATTTCTCAGTTGGCGCTTTCAAACGGACGCAGTTTCACATATTTTTGAGGGAAAATGTATGCTAGTGCAATGCATATGAACATTAGTTCCATTGTCAGCTAAAAAGAGAGGTGATACTATACATCATAGTTTTCCTCTCAGTCCTTAACACAACTAGCCTTTATCCCACAATAAACTACCGTTCTGTGCTGCAGGATAGTCGCAAAACTGGTGCACCTAATGGTACTCAACAGGCAGTCGCTCCTCCACCTCCTATACCTGAAGTTATCGACCAGTTAACAGCTGGTGGGGATCGTTTGGCTACATTGTGTCTTGCAGCAGCTGGCCAAATGTCACTGCTTACTCAGCAAGCATCAGACAAAGGTTCTCCGACGACTCATGGTGATGCTACCGGAGCGTCTAAAACTGATGGCCGAAGTTTTGGCAGCCGTTTGGAATTGACCTCTGTGGAGGCAGGTGCTGGTGTTGAGGACGCACCGGGTGGTCACGGGAATGATCCAGCGTTACAACGAACCGGTCGGTAAGTGGTACCTATCTCTGTCCAATTAGCTGTCTTTCTCATCGTTATGGTTTTGGTTGCAAGTGTTTCCAGGATTATTTCAACTGAATGGTGGTGGATCTCGACTGAAGTAAAATGTGCGCGACCATCATCGTGATGTGTTTGGTTCATACATCATACCTATGTGTTGTATACATAAATGATCGGAATCACATATGTTTATCACATAACAAATGCAGACGTAAACGCATAAAGTGAGAGTAATTCGTCATGTAATTCCACGAAAAAAAATTGGTGCATTCCTAATTCGTGTCTACCAAATACATATTTGGCAAACCAAGACTATCACCATTATGTATTTATTATATTTCACAAGGTGATCGTGTGTTTGGAAAAAATGAATAGTATTTGGTTAAATGAATGGCACTATTTCCATTTGTGAATTTTTATTATCTTTTCATGGCTTGTCTCGACGATAAACTGCAGTTTCAAGACCTAAATGTATTGTGCAGATACTGTAGCTCACAATTTGCTCGAAAGATATTCTGTACATAGTTTTCGAAATTTTACCAACTTCATTCTGACTTTATACAATTTTGCTGTAATTACACCATCCAAATTGATCCAGTTTTGTATGACAACTGTGAAATTTGTTTTTGTATGAAAAAAGGACAGTTTGATATATATATATATATATATATATATCACCGGCTTGCCGACAAACTCGGTGGTGGCACCACGAAACTAATAAGAATAACAGGGGATGGGGTTTTTTGATACATAAGAGAGTGAAATGGAGATTAAGCAGTTACAATAGACAACAACAGGTAATAGGAATAACAACAATTTGTTTGTCTTACCGTGCACTTTTTGATATTCGTGTGTGTTATTTAATCGTTTTTATGGGGCACGATAATTTTCCGGGCATACCACACAGCATTCGCGCCACTGACGTCCATTCTAGGCCACATCTATTAGCGTCTCTAACCAACAACAATCATCAACCCTTCGGGCTCCAACATGAAAGGCGGGCTGTACCAACTAAAACCCATACTGAAGCTAGCTTCTTCATACCTCTACGCCTTGTCTGGTCGCAGCGGTGCGTCTACCAGCCTGGCCCAGCACGTACAGAGAGCACAGAAAGGTGGACGGTAGGCAGTTATACGCCAAAGGTGACCAAACCATCAGAGGTAGTGTAGAGCAATTACTTCTTTCACACCCAACACACGACGACGATCCTCGTCATTGCTGACCCGATGTTCCCAACTGAAATGGGAAATGCTTCGGAGACATCGATGTTCAAATACCGAAAGTCGATTAGCTTTCTCAACGCGGAGGGGCTAGGTTTCGCAACCGTAAAGCAGAACACAATGAACTGCGGCAATGTACACCCTTTTCTTAAGAGATAATTGGATGTTATGGTGGCACCACATGTGTCGCAGGTTGTCGAAAACTGCTCTAACTTTCTATTTTCGTGATGTCTTGTTTGCTTGAATTGTAGTTTGCTTTCTGATGTTCCCTTTTCATTGGTAACTGCTTTTTTAATTCACTGTTTTATTGTACCGTCTTATCATCGTATGGCCTA